TCAACTTTAGACTCATGTGCTTTCTTGCATGTAAGTGAAAAGCAAGAATAGTCATGGAAACTGCAGACATGGTGCGGTCATATATTAAAATGTTTAATTTATCTCATCGATGTTCACACTGTGGTCGTGATCCATTTCTGGGTCACAACATTGTGGGTCACACCCAGAGTTGCTAAGTGAATATAAGTGACCTCGCTGTTGTAGCACAAAGATAACCCAAGTGCTCTGCACAGCTGGAAGCCACATGGCAGCTTCTGGGTTCAGTGCCTGGGTTGGCTTGAAAGCATGTGTTATGAGGACACATGAGCACCCTGACTCCTGAGGAGCTGAGCAGCAAGGACAGGGGATTGAGATGTGACCAGACTTGCCAAAGTACTCTCTCTTTCTCTGGATCTCTTATGTACACAGACTTTCAATCATAAAAATAAAGTATAACAGACAATTTAGATATGTAACATATATAATAGGTGTGGTTTCATTAAATCCTCTTTTGATGATGTACATGTTCTTACAAAGGTGTAGAAAGCTGTACTGCATCATTATATAAAAGATTATTAATTCTTCACTCCAGGTTATGGTCAAAGAAGTTTCAGTTACTGTTTAGCTACTTCGATGCATAGGGACACTTTGAAGTAGGTACTGTTTCATTTAACAGTGAGGGTAGATGACATGGTTGTTTACATAGAAGACCCAATAGTATCCACCAAAAACTCCTCCAAGTAATAAATGCATACAGTAAAGTGGCAGGATACAAAATTAACTTACAAAAAACTATAACATTTCTATATACAAACAACAAGCAGTCAGAGACAGAACTGAAGAAAGTAATCCTGTTTACCATAGCCACAAGATGTATAAGATACTTAGTAATAAAACTAACCAAGGGACTCAAAGACCTCTATAAGGAAAACTATGAAAATCTTAAAAAGAAAATCAAAAAGGACAAAAATAAAAGTGGAAGGACATCCCATATTCCTGAATTTGCAGAATTAATATAATCAAAATGGAAATCCTATTCCAATTAATCTACATATTTAATGCAATCCCTATAAAATTACTAGAAACATTCTTCACAGATCTAGAAAAGACAATCATAGAATTTGTCTGGAATCATAAAAGACCCCGTATTGCCAAAGCCATTCTGCACAAGAAGAGTGGAGTAGGAGGCATCTCACTTCCTGACCCCAAATTATATTACAAAGCTCTAATAATCAGAAAAGCATGATATTGGCACAAAAACAGGCATGAGGACCAATGGAACAGAGTGGAGACTCCAGAAATAAACCCAAAAACATAAAATCAACTCATCTTTGACAAAGGGTACCACTCAATCCAGTGGGAAAAGGAAAACCTCTTTAGCAAATGGTGCTTGAAAAACTGGATATCCACCTACAGAAAGATGAATCTGAACCCATTTGTCACCATTAACAAAAAGCCACTCAAAGTGGATCAAAGATCTAAACCTAAGACCTCAAATGATAAAACTACTGGTGGAAAACACTGGGGAAACTCTGGGAGACATTGAGGTAGGCTGAGACTTCTTAAGTAAGACCCTCAAAGCACAGTCAGTAATCCCAAAAATAGATAAGTGGGATTGCATCAGATGAAGAAGTTTCTGCACAGCAAAGGACACTGTCAGTAGTGTGAGTGGACAACCCTCAGACTGGGATCTCTCAGTTAACTGTGCTTCAGATAAGGGACTTATAACCAGAATACACAGGGAACTCAAGGGGCTTACCTGGAAAATAAAAATTAACTCAATTAAAAAATGGGAAAATGAGCTGAATAAACAACTCTCTAAGGAAGACATACAAACAGCAAAAAGCATATGAAGGAGCGCTTGCACATCTGTATTCATTGCAGCCTTATTCACAATTGCTAAGACATGGAACCAACCCAAATGTCCAGAAACAGATGAATAGATTGAAAAAGTGTGTCACAGATACTCCATGAAATACTACTCAGCCATAAAAAACAACAAGGCCCTGGAATTTGATAGAAAGTGGGCAAATATGGAAGATCTCTTGCTGAGCAAAGCAAGCCAGGCTATGAAAGAGAGACATTGTATGTCTCCCCTTAACATATACCGACTGTCAGCACTCTGTGGCAGAGACTGAAAGACTGGAGGACATACAAGCATTGAAAATTGTTATGGGCACTAAAACAACAACAACAACAACAACAACAAAAATAGTGAGGAAAATGGAATCTAAGACTTTCACATTGCCTTACCTGGGCTCAGGGGTGTTCTGGAGTTTGTTTTAAAGTTTTGGGGTGGGACCAGCAGATGACATAGTAGTTAAGGTACTGGACTCCCACATGTCCAAATGTGGTTCAAATCCTGAACCCAGCAGCTTGAAACTCATGCTGGGCACATGTGCGTGTGTGCCCCAAATTCCAAGAGAATGGAGGAGAAGGTATTGCGGCATGGCCATACCCTCTGGGGGGTGATTTCTTGCTGTCTTTCTAGAGAGCACACATGTCTTATAGCAAAGGTCTCTTAAAAAAGAAAAAAAAGTTTGGGTGTTTAAATTTTTGTACTGTTTCCTTTCATACATATTTCCTTTCTCTTTTAAGTACTATTAGCAGAGATGAGTAGTTGTTTTTACTTGAAGCTAATGATTTGGTCATAAATGATTTGGTCATAAATGATTAAGAACATTTTTCATTAGGTATACGTGTGCATGTGTGTGTGTGTGTGTGTGTGTGTTCCAACCCAATGTCTTTGACTTCATAATTTAAATTGTTCATGTGAGCCCCTAAGTTATTTTATACTTAAGGCATAGATTTTCTTCCAACAACCCAAAATTCTCTATGTTACAAAGTTGGAGAAGCAGCAACTATCAGGAGCGACCACACAGCCACGCTGCTCCAGGAGCAGCCCATGAAGTTATCGCAGTGTCATGCGGGAGCATGTCAACAATGCCAAACCTAGGCCCCAACTCCAACCTGGTCTATCAGAGAGTGCATTTCACCTCCATCCTCTGGTGACTTGAACATTAACATTTGAAAAGTACTACTGGTTGAAGGCATCCAGTCATTGTGTGTTACCATCAATTGAGCTACTGAATGGCTTTTTATTTGTTTAGTTATTCAATGCGCATTTACTGAGAGGCCACTGTGGTCTCATCCTATGCCATGGGATGGGGATAGAAAGATAAATCCTGAGTGGGCTCTACTTATAAGAAGCTGAAGTTCTACGAAGAGATTGGCCAGACACATAGAAAGACATTCAAGTATTACGGATGCCAGGCTCAAGTATTGTGAGCTGTTACACCAGGCACACCAGGCACAAGCAGGGCTGCTGTCTAAATGTCCCTGAGTCGGTGTGTAAGTTTATCTGAGTGTTTAAAAGAGTGATCCTTCCTTCTATCCCTCCCTTCCTGACTTTACCCCCGTCAGTTCCTTCCTCCCTCCCTTCTTTTTTTCTGAATTCTTATTTTATAATTTTTCATTTACATTTCTTTTACATTTTTATGGTGCACAATACAGCTTCTCAAAGCGTGTATGCATTGTGTGATGTTCTCTATCTTAGATTTGCTGTATCACTGCCTGGCGGGACGTGTTTTTGCTGCTTCGTTTGATCTGTCCATGTCCCTAGAGGTCACAGGGTCCAAGTTGCACTTGGACTTCTCTGAGAAGGCAAGGAGGCCGAGCCTCCACAAATGGGAAGGTCTGGAGCTTGGCATTGCTAGCTGGAGTGATGTACCACTGCTGGTCTGGTCAGGTGCTTTTCTTCCGGGAGAGTCACCACTTAACCATCTAAGCTGGATGATCTTTCATTGTTTTGACATTGAAAAATAATGTAGTAGAATAAAAAGGAATTCCCAGGGGAATCTTTTCACTGACTGTTTAGAAATATTCCTCACCATGGACTGTACAGCTCTTGGAGAGATGTCTATTTCTCAGACCTTAGAGGTTAGATGCGCTCTTTAACCACGCCAACCTCAGTGTATTGTTAGTCAGAGATGATAGGGTTTCTTGGAATCCCCAACCTCATTACTTGCTGCCTAGATTTAGATGTAGGTTTCTCAGTAGATTTCCAGATCAGATGTTTATATTCCAGTTTCACCTGATCTGTTTTACATGTACTTTTAGATTAGTCCTTTGTAGATCATATTGTCACCATGTGTGCTCCACTCAGGAATCCTCGTTGGATTCCCATGCATGCGTGACAAAATTCAAACCCTTTGCTGTATGTGCAGCACATTAAAAGCTTCTTTTAATCACCTTCTGGTTTGTATAACCCACTAGCCTGATTTCACATTTGTATCTTTTTGTTATGATTTGCTCCTCATTCTTGGTGCCGTGCATTTTTTCACCTCTATGGCTACATTTTTTTTTTCCCGCTTAGAGTAGATTTGTTTTCTGGATTATATTGTTTAAGGATAAATATGTGGTCAGTAAGCCTTCTTGTTTCTGTACATATACATAAATTTCAATTTTAAGAAGTTTGTTTTTATACCTTCATAAATTGCACTTTGTGTTATCCTTACTTGTATATATGTTTTTTTCTTTCTTGGCTGGAAATTTATTGGGGGCAAGTCCCACATCTTAGGCAATTTATTAAACCCATGCCCGACACTACGCATATCCCCTCCACTGCTAAATGCCTAATACCCAGGCTAGTCTCTAGACTAACTTTTATGCCACTTCCAAATATCAATTCTGATCCTCTTTACTTTGAAAGTTAAGGCTACTATTGGCTTGTTAGAAAAGTCATGATGCATTTTTACATAGAAAAGTCCAGTAGATTAACCACCACACCACTTGCTGGCCAACAAACATTTTTACATGGAAAAATGCATCATGACTTTTCCAATGAGCCAATAATTAAAATGAACAGAACTAAGGTCGATGATAATTTTTGTACATAAGGAAAAAAAAAAAGACATGTCAGAGCCAACTACAAAGGGATAAAATGCCCACAAGTAGATCTTCTTTAGAGTACTATAAACTTGCATGCCTATTCACTTCAGGTGTGTATTTCTTCTCTGCAGGTGACTTTCTTCCACCTCCACCTCCACCTCTAGATGATCCCAGTGTCCTACCGCCTGGCTCTGGAAGCTTCCCTCCTCCACCACCCCTTGATGAAGGTGCTTTCAAAGTGCAGGTAAGAAGAGCTGTGCGTGAAGTCACGTTTATAAGCCATACTAGGAGGCTCAGGAATTTAGTGATTGTCTCTGTGATGGATAAACATTTATCCAGAGCCTAAGAGAGCTTTACAGTTTATAAAGAGCCAGGATACTTAGATGCAAAATGCCCAACTCATGCTTCTCAGAGTTCTGCTGGCTTAAACTCTGAAACCCTGAAATCCTTTTACCTAGTAATTTTGCTCGGAAACTCAATGCCATTTTTTAGAAATGCCATTTGAGAAGTTCACATTTTTTTGTTTCACTGGAGACGTACAGCCAGAGCTTTGTATTGCTTTTTCTGTATTCACAAACATTGCTCTCTTTTAAAAAAAAATTATTTAATTTTTAAAAATTTTTTAATAGGGCATGTGCACTCACTAGAAAGATAAAGAGAAAATTAGAGAGCAAATCACCAGGTACGGGACTTGAACGGTAGTCGGCCATATGAGAGTCCAGTACATTAACCACCACACCACCTGCTGGCCCCACAAACATTGCTTTCTAAATGAATAAGCTCTGCTTGGTCACTATGGGCCCTAACTAGTCGGTGACATTTTTGCAGTGAAAGTAACTGCAGTAATCCTCCTGGTGTTCTCTTCTGAGTAAGTTCAAAAATGCATATTAGAGATACATATTGATTATATAGAACTGTGTGTTCCAGAGAATGGTGATTGCAAAGGAACCCAGGGCTCGAGGCAGAAGAGACTTTAAAAGTTGACCAGTTGTCACCATTTAGGTTGAAGATATCAGGAAGGAAAATTAATAAAGTCATAGAATTATTGTTCAGTTTATTTTCTTGTAGAAGTTTTTCCCTTAGGGTGCATGTGTTTTCGGGGAGAAAGAGAGGTAGACAGAGAGAGAGAGTGAGAGAGAACTAGAGAGTAAAAAATCACCCTCCAGAGGAGATGGCCATGCCGTAATCTTTTTTTCTCCATTCTCCTTTTTTCCTCCATTCTCCTCTGAGGGTCTTGGACATGCATGCACACAGTGTGAATTTCAAGCCCTTGCGTTCTGAATTACTGTTCAGTTTTTAGGTTTGATGATGTTAGTATACATATACTAAAGAAAAGCATTGTCTATCTTTTAGATAAACATTGGAAGTATATGTGGGTTAAATTGAACTGTGTCTGGCATTTCCTTCAAAATAATGAAGAGTAGACTGGCCAGTGTAAATACCAGAGACTGTTAGGAGGGGGTGGAGTATAAGGGTGAAAGGGAGCAGCCCAGGAGAAACAAACAAATTCACAGATAATAATGGACAATTATCTCTTGAGGATGATGTATATGGTAATATATTTGACTTGATTGATATGCAATGCATCTGTACTTTGAAAAGAACATTTTGTATGCTGTTAATATATGCAGTGATTACATGTAGAAATAAATAAATCAATTAAAAAAAAGTACTGAGTGAGAAATTAAGTGAAAAAAGGATAGTTATGAAGTGGTAAGCCTTGGATGCATGGAGCTTTGTTTTGTTATCCTTTCTACCTTTGCATATGTTTAAAATTCCCCATAATAATAAGTGTATAAGAGGGAAAGTTATAGGAAACAACTGCTTACAAGAGTCAAGTCTGCTCTGTGGCTTTCTTTCTGTTAAATTTTAGGATGGGGGAGACAAAGGAAGAAATGGTTCATGCCTTCAACAGATGTTTTGTGTTCCTGTGAAGGAATCATTCAAGCATTAGGGATTCTTTGACAAAAAAGAGACACTGCTTTGTCCTCATGGAACTTGCAAGTTAGTGAAAGTAGTGGAAGTAAATGAATTATTTCCTTTAGAACAGGATAAGTGTTAGGGGAGTCAAGGAGGGAAGACTATATGACTTGCCGTAGGTGGGCCTGGTTATTTAGGTCTCACCAAGGTGGCACTTAAAACAAGGATTTCAAGGAGGAGGGAAGGGAACGAGGTCTCTGGATTTCTTGTGGAGTAGATGTTAAGAATAGAAGAAGCCTTTTTATATTATTTACCAATTCAAATTAGTAAGTTTCAGTTGGAACCTATAAATTCCAATTCAATTTGGAGTATAGATTTTTTTTTAAGTTTTTGTATTTATTTTTTCCATGAGAGAAAGAGACAGAGAATTCATCCCACCAAGGCCTTCATACCTCATCTAGTTTCTGCCAGCCAGCATCATTGGCACATCTGTGCATCCTTGGCATGTATGGGGAGACCTGGGGATGTGGAACTGGAACCTTTCTCCGTGACCTTAGCATTGGGGAGCTTTACCTTACTGCTCTGTCGCCATGGCTGACCTATGGCCTAGGTTTGTTTTTTGTTTTTTGTTTTTTGTTTTGAGAGGTTTTCACTATAGGGCACGTGCGCTCGCCAGACAGACAGAGAGAGACATGGAGACAGAAAGCGAGAAATCACCCCCCAGGGGAGATGGTCACACTGTAATCCCTTCTCCTCCATTCTCCTCTTGGGATCCTGGGCACACATGCACACGCACCCGGCATGAGTTTTAAGCCACCGGGTCCGGGACGCGAACTGTGGTTGACTACATGGGAGTCCAGCGACATATCAATTACGCTAACTGCTGGTTCCCTGGCCTAGGTATTTTAAAGGCTAGTACATGTTTTGTGTTTTGCGTGTATATGTCCTGTGTTTCCTGAATTTTATTTTGCTGTATGAGAGTAAAATCAGAGATCAGATGCTAGTAATAGTCCGGAGTCCCTACAAAATTCATATTTATTCCATGTGACAAATAGAACCTATGACAGATAAAAACAAAATGATTGATTGTCCTTACTTTTAATAATATTTTTATAAAAAACTTAAAAACCCAGGCTAGCTGGTAGCATGATGGTTGAGGCAGGTGGATCCCACATGACCCCCGTCCCTCTCCCTCTCCCTCCCTCCCTCTCCTGTTTCTGTCTTTCCAGTGAGTGAATACATTGTCTAGCAAATTAAAAAAAAAATAGTAAACACCATTAAAGTTTGCTTTCTATATACCTTTGCTCTAATTTTGTTTGAGGTGGTTCTTTTATTTAATATACACTATATAGAAGTTCACTTTTTTTTTCCTCTTGGATTGTTATAGAAACTATTTTGTATGTTTTAAGCCTAGTTCTCAAAAGGTTGCTTAAAACTAGTGTCAAAAGTCCTGTGTTTTAAAACTGTTGGAGTAGTTTATTTTCCCTGTATGTTCTTGAGCAGCTTGCACTTTCCAAATCTCAGTTTCCCCATAATTAAAAAGAAGGCAAATATACCTACTTGGAATTGTTAGACTGAAATGATATATTTTAATAAAATTGTAAGTTCCACTATGTATAAATTGTAATAGCAAGAAAAATAAGGCTGGGCCCATGAGTTCCATTTCACCAAATTCCAATATGAGCCTCTCCTAAAATTACAGAAAGTCTTTTTCTGCATGGACCTTGTTCTGGTACATGTACTCAAGCCATGGCTTTGTTTTTGAAGAGGAAGGAAATAAACAAAAAGCCTGTTGCCATGTTGGCTTATGTTATCTGTAAAACAGAAGGGAGGAAGATAAAAAATAAAGTGAAGTTTGCCAAATGGAAAAGGACAAATCTGGTCGAGAGAGGCATGTTATTTTTGAGATTCTTCATTTGGAAGATGGTTGGTAAGTTCAATACAAGATGGACATGCCATTCCCTGGGGTAGTAAGCATTTGGAGGTGATGGTGGCTTGGACTCCCTCTGGCCATATTCATCCGCACCACCTTTAGATATGATCTCTAATGTAACCGAAGTAATACGATCACCGGAAAACATTTTGCACTTTTTCCTCTCAGCTATGGTGAAAACTCCTGTTGCCAAGTCCAAATTATAACTGGTAAATGTGTGTTTTTATGTAAAAGTCTGTTTATGTTTCCAGCCAAATTTTCAGGTCAGAGCCAAAAGAATGTCTACTAAGTGTGACTGTAAGAATTGCAAGACTTTTCAGAGCTGAAAAGGACTGTAGAGATTCATTTAGTCTGATTCTGGCACCAGGCATCTGCTTACACCTTTTCAAGTACTTACTAAATGAGTTCATCCCCCCTCCTTTTTCTTTTTGTTTGGAAATGGAGAAACTGAGACCCAAGGAGTTCCTAGCAGAGCTCTTGCTGACCTGAGGAAGTTATCTGCTGACCTTGACCTTCTTACTGTACCAGAGGGCAAGTGGTTTTGTGCTAGTTCTCTTTCAGATTCAGAGTAGGGGTTGCATGCTTTCATTTGGTAGGACTGGAATTTTGCTAGGCTCTTGGAATTTTTGATAGGTCTTAAACATTTTTCTTTATGAAAGGTAAATCAATATGTAGCATTGAGAATTCTGATTTTGAGAATTCTAATTTTTATGGAAAAAGATGAATCTTGGGAAATAAATGATGATGAGGCTTGGAGTAGCCCTTTAGCAGTCCCTTTATTTGACTGTTCTTCATTCATACACTGTAAATTGAGTATGTTGTATACATAAGCACTTAACAAGGGAGTATGACTTTAGGACTTGGCATCATATGACTAACACCCTGAGTCTCAACCGTGGGGCTAGCAGTGAGCTTCTTGGTTCTAGTCTGATGTCACAGTTAGAAATTTCTATTTTCAGAGAATCCATGGATAGGCATATAACATTGCTTAGGGTAGTTACAAAAGGGGAGAATTCTCATAGAGTTTCCTTTCTTATTTTATTTGTTTGTTTGTTTGTTTAATGTAACTAGTATTTCTAGGTGAATATTACAGGTGAGGCAATGCTGAAGGATAAGGAGATGGGTCATGTATGGTACACAGAATCAGGTTTGAGAAAGGAAGACATATAAGGTTTTTAAATTATGGGTTTTCATGGTAAATTATAGCTGTGTTATCATGCTTTGATGGAAGTCCTTCCTTTGATAGCGGTATAGGGTAAGGAGAATAAATTAACTATGATTGGAGATACATAAGAGGGATTATTGGAAACAGTTAACTTTTTTTTTTTTACTTTGTTTTAATTTTATATATTCAGTGAGTATATATCACTTAACTGGTAAAGTGAATTGTC